AATTAAAATTGGGTAGGAGAATCGTGATTGTTACGAGGAGGAGGAAATTCTTCCTCTCAAAGTCTCACTAGAGTCTCACCGGCCGGTCACCGGACCACCGCTAACGACCACCATGCACGGTGGCCGAAAAATCAAGCTCACCGAGAATTTTGCAGCGATCACACCATCCAGTTCGCAATTTGATGGGGAGCCCATTTCTGATGTCAGTTTATGGAGTGGGTGAGCCATTTGGCTGGAATAAGCCTTGACAGCCACTCACCGACTAATCAATAATCACCCTTGACTTTCTCTCTCTCTTCATTATTTCTTTCTGATGGCTGCCTCCACCGCTTACATTGGCACCTTCACCTCATAGAAATTGCAGCGGTTTACTTCTTCTTTATTTTGACACTTTCTTTTTTTTCTTTTTCTCTCTATAATCACATCTTTATTTTATTTCAATATTATTTTCCCTTTCTTTTCCACTCTTTTTTTTCCAAAAAAAAAAAAAAAAATTTTTACCCCACCAAGCAAAGAAATTTGAACTCACCGAACAAAAAAATCTACCATAATTTTTTCTTTTTGGTTTGAAGAAATCAGAGTCTTTAAAGCGAAAGAGAAAGAAGAGAAGGAGACGATAACTACATGAACACTTTCCTCTTTGCTTCAAGACCTTCAACAAATACATGTAATTTTTTGTAGGGAAAATTATTATTTCGTCCCTGAGGTTTTACATAATTATTTAGGTAGTTCTCGATATTTATACATATATTTATAACATCTTGAGATTTGCCACCGTCATATTAATTGGTCTTTCTATCAAAAAAATACACTTTTTCCATTAATTTTGAGAAGAAAAAACGAAATTATCCTTTGGAAAAATAATTATTTCGTCCCTGAGGTTTGCCATAATTTATTTCGTCCCTGAGGTTTGCCCATATTATTAAGTAGTTCTCCTATATTTATAAAATACTTTATAACGTCCCTGCGGGTTTTACTTCCGTCTCACTATTAATTTTGGTCATTCCATTAAAAAAAAACTTACACTTTTTTCCGTTTTAATTTTGAGTGGAAAAGACGAAATTATATCCTTTATAAGTTTTTCATTGACATTATTATTTAATCACTTTCCTCTAAAATACCTAAAACTCACATCTTTCACTATCTTCCTTAACCCAAAATGCAGGTCTTTCATTGCCACTTACTGTGTCAATGAACAACTTATCATCTCCATAACTAGATCACCACCAAAACTAAAATCCACACATCCAACTACAAAATCCAAAGCCATCATTCACCCTTCATCCATTATCTCTCTCTCCTTTGATTAGAGGATTTTAGGTTAGTTTTGGTCATTCTATTAAAGTATTTAACATCAAAAAGTATGTTCTTTCTGGACGGAAAGACCAGTAATATGACGGAAGTAGCTCAGAGACGTTTATAAATAATTTTGTATAAAATGGCCGGACCTACTTAAAAAGTATGGCAAAACCTCAGCAGACGAAATAAATTATTTTTCCCTTTTAGTTTTGTTTTGGTGATCTGATTATGGAGATGATACTTTGACAGAGACATGGCTGGGGCCAAATGAACAGACTGCAATTGGATTGAGAAAGATGGTTGAAAATTTGAGACGTTTCAGGTATTAAAGGAAATGGCATTGACAATAATGTCAATGAAAACTTTATAACAAAGATAAATTTTCGTTCTTTTTCGCTCAAAATTAACGCGAAAAAAAAGTATATATTTTTTTTTTAATTGGGAATGACCAATTTAATATGACGGAAGTAAAACTTTTTTTTCAGGAGACGTTTATTAAATATTTGTATAACAATGTCCGGGACTACTTAATAATTTATGGTAAACCTTAGGACGCAAATAATTATTTTCAAAAAAGGATTAATTTCGTCTTTTTCCTCTCAAAATTAACGGGAAAAAACTGCTATTTTTTTTACGGGAAGGGGAACCCAATTAAATGATGGTGGGCAAAACTCTAAGAAACCAATTAATATGATGGTGGCAAACCTCAAGAACGTTATAAATATATGTATAAATGTCGAGGACTACCTAAATAATTATGTAAAACCTCAGGGACGAAATAATAATTTTCCCTTTTTTTTATTAAATAAATGAACAAACAAAAGCTTTTCCTTCTTTATTTTAAAAAATTTTCACTCTACTTTTGAAGTATCTTTCTCGTAGAAATTTCTTATTGAGAATTGCGGATCTTGATCCAAAATTCAACTAGAAGAATGAACGAAAGATATTAAGGTGAAAGGATAAACGTCACAAAGATTAATTATCTTTGATAAGTTCAATGAAGAACTAAGAATTCGCCTCTCTTGAAATAAAACGCATAAATTGAGTTATTCCATAATACTTGATAGCTAAATATTTATATATAGAAAACCCTAAAACTAATTAAGGCATAAAGCCCAATTGAAGTAGGTCCAATTATACTAATTTAAACATAAGCTAACTATAAGGCCTAAGGCCCACATGTTTGGATCATGTGAACCAACCTTGGATATTCTGCAAGCCCATCTCATTATTTGGTACTTTTTCATTAGACTTAAATATATTTTTGATCGGTCCATCAACTGCTTTCTTGACTTTTTTAGTCATTGCCCTTATAATAGGTCCATTTGGAAATAGAATATCCTCTCGTGCGATTATGGTTTGTCGATTTGTATCACTTAAATTAATCTCAAAACCAACACATCAACCAAGAATAAGCTGAAATTCCAAAATCTTAAATTAAAATTTGCATCTTCGTAGACAAACCTTCAAAAAGAAAAACCAAGAAAATTTTCAAAACCATGGTTTAAATTCTTAATATTTTGACTTTCTTTCATTATCTTAATTTTCCCATTCATGTAAACTCAATGGTGTTCTTGAGTTGAAGAGTCGGCTGCTCATGGTAGTTGCTCAGACTTTTTCAATAGTAATGGGATTGAGCCTAGTAGTCAAACTTTTTGGTCATCAAATGTGAGCAAAGTGAAGAATTTATCGAGGAAGAGAAAAATAATTTGTATGTTGATGTTTAGTTTGGTCAATTTGGTATGGATTAATTACACTATCGGTGTCTGAACTTTAATCTTTACTATTTTTGGTGTTGACTATGTCCGAACAGAAAAATTTTCCAATCAGTTGCTTTTTATTTACACAGTGCTAGAGTTATTACTGTGGACCCTGCGAAAAATTTGTTGCAAGTTCATAGAAATACTCATGTCATTTGTTTCGGTCCTGAAAATATTATCCGAAATTGAAATTTTGGAAATACAGAAATCTGTTGATATCCAATTGCCTCTTTCGAGTTAGAGGCTTGGCAATTTTGCTTTCTAATAAATCGTTTTATGAATCTTGTAAATTGGATTTTTAAGAATTTTTGCAGAATTGTTGTTTTTCATTGTGTTATCTGTTTTTTAATTGATGGACTAAAAATATGCTATATTTAATTTTTAATGGGGTTAGAAATGTCATTTTTCTGAATAAAAGGCATATGCAATGCATGTGAAAGAGTTATGTGGAATGCTAAAATCCACGTCAGCTGCTTACGTATCCTGTGTTTTATCCTTGTGTTTTGCCATAAATTATTAGTGTATCGTTGCATTTTAAATATACACTACAATATCTCTATAATTTGCTTTCATTCCTAATTTTCGTTATTCTGTCCATTTTTTTATTAATTTTTATTATAAGTCAAAAGGAAAATTAAACAGTCAAAGGAGAAAGATTTTTTTTTTTTTTTTTTTTTTTTGAGAAAGATTTTTTTTTTTTTTTTTTTTTTTTTAGCAGGAATACCTTTGACAATTTTTTTTTTTTTTTTTTTTTTTTGCCCAGAATACCTTTGACAACTTTCCTCTCTGTTGCAATTTCATTAGCCCAAATCCAAACTCCTGGTACACTAAGAAATCTCCTTCTTTGAATTCTCCATATATCTTCATTTTCATTATCATCAGTATCAGAAGAAGTCGTAGCCTAAAATTGTTGGGTTTATGGGTTAGCAGTATTAGGATTTGTGGTTGACAAGGGTCTGTCAATTAGCATAAATCGACTCCTCAAAATGTATTTTGAACCCAAATGCGTTGGAGCCCGCAATCTGGGTATTATTACTGAATATTCTTCATTTCCCCTGTTCTTTGGCTAGCATCAGATCTTGAACTTGAAAATGGTCAGAACGCTCCAGTGCTTTCCTTTCTCATTGTATTTAAGGTACAGTGGGTTATTTGTAGGAGGAGATGAAAGTTAGTGTTGTTGTGATTGTTGAGCTTGTTTCCTGGTGATTTCTCCTTTACTATCATCCATCTATAGTGGGCCCATGAAGGAAAGAAACTCATCAGAGAAATTTAGACCAAAATCGGAACAAGAAGAACAAAGACCATTTTCGTTTTCTGTTCTTGAATTTTTAGGATTTTTTATTTTATATTTTTTAAACTGATTTTATTTTAATCATTTATAGGTTATTGATTTCTGAAAATGGAAGTGAGATGTGATTTTTTTTTTTTAATTTTACAAAGAAAAGTAAAGCTGAAATTTTGAAAATTGAGATTTTTCCATTTTATTGTTTGTTCTTTGCTGCAAATGATTTATATTTAAGAGTGTTTTTGTTTTTCATCAAACATATTATAAAAAATAGACAAAGGACAAAAGTTTTAACGGAAATAAATAATAAGAATATTGTAATATAATTTTAAAAATGCAAAAATAGATTAATAATTTATGATAAACTACATAGATAAAATTATAATTTTTCCAATCAAATTTCCGTTTGTCCAAATTAACATGAACTATTTAATTGCATGTTTTTTATAATTTTAATACTCAATTAATAATATTTTCTAATCAGACATTAAAATTAAAAAATATTAAAATTTAAACACCCAATATACCTTTATGCCTTTAACATTTGTGTATCTTCTTCTTGGGTTGCATATTATATAAGTATCAAAGGAGAAAATAATAACTTTGGCATCGGAATTTTGTATTTTTTTTTATTTTAGCGTCTCACCTAAAAACTTTATGAATCATGTGTTTATATTTATGAAAATTTGCAATCCAAGTGGTTGTCTCGGATTTTGATTGCTGGAATGCTGATTTTCCCGCCCCAAAATAATAAGCCATCTTTTGACACAATCGAGTTATTCATTAAACAAAAAGCTGTTCGAGCCCGTGATTCTATCCATTGGGCTTACACTCTTGTTCTCAAACATGTCCAACAAGAAAACGCCGACGTTTTGTCTTAAGAGGTAAATTTTGTGTAGGGTGTTTGATTTTTGGCACACTAGCTGTTTGTTTTTATGTCGGAGTGAAAATTTGTTCCCAAAATTAGAAAGATCATGGAAATAGTGTGTTAATTAAGAAAGCAACTCCTTCATGGCTGTGAAAGAGATGCTCAACTTAAACTTAATCTTTGAATTTCAGGTTTGCAAGACTGTTAGTTGAATATTGAAGCAAATTATGGAGCCCTCATTTTGATTGCTATATACAACCTCAATTCAATAAATTGCTGAAAAATGTGGTCAGAATTCGATGTAACTCTCTCTCTCCCTCTCCCTCTCGATAGTTCTGCAATGAACAAAAGGTGGTTGTGCAATAAATGTTGGGAAAAATTACTCAAAATCCCCAATAAGAAAATAATACACAATTTGATGACGGAGTTCGGCCAATCTTACCTACATCTCCGGACCGCCACAGATCTTTTATAGAAGAAAAATAAATAAAGTATTTACATACACTCGCAACCCTCTATTTAAGAATACTCGAAAAATTAAGCTTAATTTTTCTTCTTGAATAATCTCTCCATTTTTCTCTCTTACAATTGCTCTCACTCTCTCTATTCTTCTTGTTCTTGTCTTGAATAATCTCTTCCATTTTTTCTCTCTTACAATTGCTCTCACTCTTCTCTATTTCTTAAGAATACTCGAAAAATTAAGCTTAATTTTTCTTCTTGAATAATCTCTCCATTTTTCTCTCTTACAATTGCTCTCACTCTCTCTATTCTTCTTGTTGGTGTGTTTAAACTGAGACAAATCCTCTCCTATTTATAAGAGAGAGAAGACGAGAGATCAGTGTATAACTCATTCACGGCTTTCCATCCTTGTCAAATTTGCATGCCAACTTTCACCTATGTTTTTTTTCTTTTCATCACGTGTGTGGGTTCCACTTAGATGGGCACACCACAACCTAATTTTGACAATAAATAGAGGTGAGTCGTTGAAGTTATATATATATATATATATAAAGGAGATTAATTACAAAGGTGCTTTTTATCCACTCGCCAGCCATATGACAAATTATCTCAAAGGATGAAACCTGTAAAGCAATATCGACTCCTTTAAAGTGATTCTTTCTATATGTAGCATTCTTTTTCATTTAAATGTGTTATGTTTGATGGCAAAGGATATATTAACGCCTACATGTAGATTTTCATAGGTCTGGACTGGCAGGATTTTTGCATGATAATCAAAATGGATATAGAAAAGCATGAAAAACGTTCTCAAACACCACAGGAAAATGTTTCTGAATCGAGAAATTTATTCAGCAAAAAGGAGATTCTAAAGGAGATGAAGAAGCAGCTGATGTTAGCAGGACCTCTAGTGTCAGTTTTCTTATGCTTTGGTATTAATCAGATAATTTGTATCATGTTTGTAGGTCGTCTTGGAGTTCTTGCTCTTTCTGGGGCTTCCATTGCCACTTCCTTTGCTTCAATGGCAGGTTTTACCTTGTTGGTAAGACAATTTTTTTTACCTAATCTTTAACTTTCTTTAATTTATATATTTGCTTAATAAGGTTTGGACAATGGTTAAAAAATGGGCTCTAACATCACCCCGGTCCCGGTTTCAAACTAACTGAACTTGTCAAAACGAAATCAAACTTCGGTTGTAAGAACCTATCTCTACGGTTCGGTTATCATTAGTTATTTTTTTGGAACTGACAAATGGTTCTGGTTTGAAATTGTATGGGAAAAAAATCATAAATCAAAATATCGAAAACACTCCATGTCTTTTTTTTTTTTCTTATAATATTTTAATTAAATTTGAAGACTTTTCTATTAAACTTGTTTAATGTTTTCAATACTAAGACTTAGAATTATTTTTCTTATTATTTATTCAATCCATAAAATTTAAAAAAATTGATAAAGAACTTGAAAAAATTTGGCTTATTTGGCTGTTTTTTTTCTTATTATTTTTTTTCTTAATTTGTTTCTCTTGTCAAGCGAGGAATGGGAAGTGCATTGGAAACATTCTCGGGCCAGTCCTATGGAGCCAAACAGTATCACTTGCTTGGAATACACTTACAAAGAGGAATTCTTATTCTTCTCATTATGAGCATTCCAATTGGAATTGTATTTGCTAATGCAGCTGAAATTCTTAAATTCTTGAAACAAAATCCTGAAATCGCAAATGCAGCCGGAAAATATGCTTACTGCATGATACCTGGATTTTTTGGTACTTCATTCTTTGAATGTCTTATCAGATTCTTACAAACTCAAAACAAAGTAGTTCCAGTGATGATTACTTCAGCAATTGCTGCAATATTACATGTCCCAATTACTTGGATTCTTGTTTTTAAAACTGGCGTAAAATACATGGGAGGAGCATTAGCACATTCCATCTCTTCTTGGATAATTGCATTGCAGCTAATAGGTTACGTCTGGTTCTCCCCATCATTTAAGGAAACTTGGACAGGTTTTTCAAAGCAAGCATTCAGTGGAATTCCTAGCTTTTTAAAACTAGCAATTCCTGCAACTATAATGCTTAGGTAACTCCAGGATGAATTTCTTTTAATTATTTCAGTTTAGCATTATTCTCATATACTACTCAGCATTTGATATGCTTCTAATGATTTAAATTATTTCTGGGCTTCAAACAGCTTGGAAGTATGGTCACTTGAGATAATGGTTTTATTATCTGGACTTCTTCCAGATCCTAAGCTTGAAGCATCAGTTCTGTCTATCAGGTTTTCTATTACAGATCATCTAATTACTGAAGATTAAGGTCTTATTTGGCCTAATTAATGTATGTTTTTTCCACTTCCAGCTTTAACGTACAGATGTTGACTTACATGATACCTTACGGTCTTGGTTGTGCAATAAGGTGAATATATACCAACAATGTTTCTTAACAACAAGAGTTCATTATCCTCTATTTTTAATCAGCATCTTTCCTTTCCTTTTTCATTTTTTATGGTATGATTATTTGGATTGTTTATCTGGATTAGCACAAGAGTTTCAAATGAACTGGGTGCTGGGCGGCCACAAGTTGCTCGTCGAGCAGTATATGTTGTGGTAATCATGGTTGTGATAGAAGGCCTTGTTGTAGCTACTACTATGGTGTCAGCTCGAAAAGTTTTTGGCCACTTGTTTAGTAAAGATCATAGAGTGGTGAAATATGTGGGAGAAATGTTACCATTGCTTGCAACAGCCCACTTCATTAATGGCATTCAAGCTGTACTTTCAGGTATAATGCATTGCTTGATAAGTTTTATTTTCCTCCCATTTTGGAGAGTAAACTGGAGGAATTAAAATAAAGAATATTTTACATCCACTCACAATTTCACCTCCTTCCCAAACAAGGTATTTTGCAAACCCTATGAAATTTTCACTTGTTATTTTACACCCTTCCTTATTTTACATCCAACCAAACTAGATTTAGTTCAACATTTCTGGAATCAGGTGTGGAACTAGAAGTTGAAACTCGGGGGAGAAATATAACTTCTTAAATTTCAGCAATAATTTTTTTAAGACATCTGATGGGGGCAAAATGGCTTGTTCCACCTCTGGAATTATGTTTAGGATTAAGAAATTACGAGTTTGAACAATTGAGAATTGCAGGAACTTGCAGAGGATGTGGATGGCAAAAGATTGGAGCATTTGTTAATTTGGGATCTTATTACATTGTTGGAATTCCTTCAGCTGCAGTATTAGCTTTTGTCTACCATATTGGAGGAAAGGTAGCTTCAAGTTTTATCTTTTGTTTTCTTATTTTGAATCCATCTTTGGCTCTGGATTGGGATTATAATAAACTAAAAATGTCTATATGGAATGTGGTTGACAGGGCCTCTGGATTGGGATTACAATAGCAATGTTTGTGCAAGCAACTTCCCTTGCAATCATAACTTTATGCACAGATTGGGAAAAACAAGTATATGTAGTGATTTATTTGATTAGTTATATGTGCATGACATTAATTACCATTTCATAAATCTTCTTTCTTTCTTTTTCTTTTTGCAGGCAAAGAGAGCTAAGGATAGAGTACTTGGTGAGGCCAATGCATTATCGTATGGGGAGTCTTGAGATTGAATCCCTCCCTTATAGTTTAATTACTAGCTGCATATGCTTGTGCTATGCACAAAAAATCTATTAATTTTTAATTTTTAATCTTTAATTTAAATTTTTATATCTCACTTTGTATTAAATTTTTTTTAATAGTTATATAATTGATTTGTGGATAAATGATTTTGAAATTTGCAATGCTCAAATTTAATTTAACAAATATAGTTAAGAATTTTATAAATTGTAATAATGATATTAACAATCTTTAAAAAATATATGATAGTAATGTTACAAAATTAAAAAATTTATTTAATTTTATTTATTTATATACTCCAATAAAAATTATGATTTTGGAATGACTTTTATTTAGTGGAGAAATTTTTATTGTGTAGTGGAGGAAATTTTTTATTGGGGAGACTCGGTGGAGGGTGTTAATTTATTTATTTTGTGGAGAAATTTTTATTGTGTTAATTATTTATTTAATCATTTAGTATTTAGTTAAATGATTATTATTTCTTACTATATTATTGATTATTATGTCTTGACATTTATATTTTCGTATTTATTGATAAATTAATTTCAAGTAATAGAAAATTAAAATAAAACAATTAATATACCACAATTATAAATTTTTAAAACATTTTAACACTCTTACGATCTTATAATTCATAACCCAGCGATTCTAGTCTTACATAGCACTGCAAAAATCTTAGTGATCTCGCTTGATGCTCTTTAAAGAAATTATGCGTTGTTGATTGATTTGTAGGTACAAGTATGTTGAACCTAACAAAAAAATTGGCTAAAGTATCAAATTGGCCCTTGAACTTTTTAGTTCATCCAATCAGATTCAAAAGCTTCTTCTTTGAACAAATTGACCATTAAACTTTTAATTTCAGCCAATTGAGTCCAAAGTTCTCTCATAATTTGCATAATCATTATATATCTACTTTTTATGTAAAAAGTTAATTAATTAAAAAAATAAATATGAATGTCAAAAATAAACGTAAATAGAGAAAAATAATTCAAATAAAAGTTCAAATTAGAAACTCTACAAAATTCTAAATATAACACATTAAAAATTCTAAAGTATATATGATCAATTATGATGTTTGGACTACTTAATATAAGTTCATTCCACTCAATTTATGATATATTTACTTGCCAATTTTAGCTGTGGGATAGATTTCATTTAATTGTTCAAAAATTAAAAATTCTAGAATCAATTTAATAAAAAAAATATATGATCGAACCAATTAAAAAGATGTAAGAGTGAATTTAATACTTGAACCTAAAAATTTTAACTCATAGGAAGTGTTCAATTCAGCTAATTCTTGTAGTTAATAATTAATTTACACATATTTGATAAGAATTTATTTAATAGTTGATCTACATTTTTAGCTTTTTTTTCACCCATAAGTTAAATTTTTTTGTAACAATATTATATTTTTTCACTCTATTAAACTTATAAAAATAATTTTTAGCAATTACTTCTAAAACTATATTTTGAAAATTAATACTTTTATATTATTATTATATTTGTAATTATTTAAAATATTAAATATTTTTGTAAAAAATTTATAATTAATATTTTTATTTGTATAATACATTAAATAGATGTATTATACATATACAATAAATTATGGAAATAATTATACTCTTGGTGATCTTAAATGTAAATTAAATAACAATATATATTTAAAACAAAAGGAATTAAAACATATATATAAATGAAGGAAAAATCCTAAATCATTATGTAGATTGCCAATTAAGAATTCATCATTCACCACATTGATTTGGAAAGTGATTGTGGGCAATTCATGGTACAAGTGTGCCTACTTCAAAAAATGACTTTCAAGTTTATTGGTCAATCATTTTCTTCATTTTATTGTGAGGAATTGATGCACATATTCATTTATTAATTTTGTGAGAAGGAATAATTAAATTGATTTCAAAACTTCCACCGTTATCAAAAGTAAAAGCCACAATATTTCCCAAAAAAAAAAAAAAAAAAAAAAAAAAAAAAAAAAAAAAAAAAACAAAAAAAAAAAAAAAAAAAAAAACACAAGTAATCGATTCAAAGGAGGTGAGTTAAATCACCACAAGTAACAGAAACAATCATTTTCTTTATCCAATAGACCTGTAAAAAGTAGGAAACAATCATCTTTGCACTGAAATGTCCTGTAAAAAGTAGGTAAAAAAATTAACAGATACAAGAGGTCCTGCTAACATCAGCTGCATCTTCACCTCCTTGAACATCTCATCTTTGAGAAATCTTTGTTTTGAGTCTACTATTCCTGCTTGAGAGCACAATGGTGATTCAAGACTTTGTTTCTGTTACTTGCGCTGGTTGAGTCTACCATTGGCCACAATCATTTTCTTTGTCTTTGTTTGCGCTTAATCCGTCTTTAAATGAGTTGCGTTCTTCACATATAAGCTTTACTTCTTCTAAAGGTGCAACTTTCTATGAAGTGTCCTTAGAATCTATCTTGCATTCCTCCTCTTGAGGTCTATTAGCTACCATAGCGCTACTTGTACCTCTAAATTCTTGATTACTGCTTGTTGAATCTTAAAACTCTCATGAGTTTCATTCATGAATTTCATGTGAAACTTAATGAGGGCATCAATCAAATCCTTAATTTGATTCTCCTTTTTCTTTTCATCCTCAAAATTTAGAAGGTCTTACTGATACTAACCTTGCACTGAATGACTCCAATGCTTACGGTAGTCAAAATCCGCCATATCATTTTTAAACTACATCTTCATAGCTACTTTTTGGAACATGAATACCGGTTGTCGAAAATCCATTATTTACTCAACTTTTTATTTCTTCATCTAATCCAAAGTAGAATATATAAGTGAAATATTTATTTGTAAAATTATGACAAAGAAATCTTTCCAACAATTCGTTAAATCTTGTCCAAGCGGCATAAAATGGCTCCGAGTGTTGTTGACTAAAATATGCGACTATTTCTCGATGAACCATGTCAAACTACTTCGGAAAAAAATAATGAAAATAAAAATCAATTAAAACAAAGAAAAACTACAAATAATATAAACAAATATTTCAATTAACAAAAAAAAATTAAAATAAAAAATATCTAAATTAATAATAGGTTAATGGATATTGATATTGGTAATGCCAATCCTCAGCAATGGCGTCAAAAACTTAACAGGCTTTTTTGCAAGTGTAGGAAATAGCAAACAAGTAGTAAAGAGTGATTAGAATATCGTTCCTACAAGTATTATATACCAAGTATCAAAATTGTATTAACCTACTATTATTTAAAGGACAATAAGGAGAATTATTTTAAGAAATTAAATTAAAATAAATAAAAGAGAATAAAAAGAAATCAAGTAAGACAATTTGATGAAAAGAAATCAATGACTAAAAACTATTAGGGATTTTGACTTCACTTAATTTTATCCAATTTATTTTATTAGTTTGATAATCAATTTTTATTGTTCAAGTAGAGGAAACAACCCTAAAATTACCAACAAGTTCTCCCGATGTATTGTTAGCTATTTTAATCCAATCTAATTACTGTCTTCCAATAGCGCAATCAAATATGAATTAAATCATTAAGTTTTATGGTTTATTTATAAATTCATAACCTAAGGTCGTTAACTTATGTATAAGTTTTATGGTTATTATAAATTTCATAAACCTAAGGTCGTTTAACTATAGAAACCCCCCATAAGTCAAACCATAATAGCTTCTACATTCACAGTTCTTATTTTATGTAATTATTTACCTTTCATTTATCAAAACACCCTTCTCCCGATTTAGTGATTAATGAAATAAATCAATCTAAGGGGAGAAAATTCTGCCTGGGAAGCATTAAGTTCAAAAATAATTAAATCTAAACTATTAAATAAGGAAAACCAAAATCTTAATTATTAAAAATTAAAAAATTAAATAAAACTACATTAAATCCCTAATTTGAGAGTTAGTTCTGATTATATAATTAAAATAAAACTCAATTAAACTTATAAATATTCTCATAATCACATAATATTGAAAGTAAAACAAAAAGGATTTTAGAAATAAAAAACTTAGTCAACAATTGCTTATAAAGCAGTTTCCTTGAATTTTAATTGCTAACTTGATTGCTTGAATTCTTGTACAAGAGAAACGATGTTAGAGAATAGAATGTGTGAGGATAATGGATGTTTGATGTGAATGCCCTTTTAGTGTAGAGATTTCTCTTTATATAGATTCGAAGAGTGTCTCTAATCCAAAGTGGAAACTAGCTACCTAATTAGGAAAGAAATATTTATTTGAGGTAGAAAACTTATTATAGAAATATTATTTGAGTAGAAAACTGATTTTATATTGCATTTCTTCCTAAGCAGGAGCCTTTTTTGACTAAATAGAGCTGAAACTCAAACAAGGTAAGTCTTATATTATTCTCATAGAGCTCCATGCATAAGACACACCCAAGTTTCAAATCTACAAGGGCTAAATAATTAAATTCGGCCCACTTAAATTTTCAACTTTCTTGGAGATACAGTCAGACCGTATACTTTACTAACTTAGCCATGTTGAGCTTTTATCTCCATTTTTTGAGCTATAACCTTTTTTTGATGCAAATTTTAGCTATTTTCCTGCTAAAAACTCTTCATATCAAGTTGATCAAGGAAACTTAATTAAAAATATAAATATAAATAAAAATTAATTAAAGTAATTAAAAATATTAAAAAATTCTAATAAAAACTATAAAAATAAGACCTATCAAAAATCAATCCAATCAAATCAAAGTAATATTCAAAAAAGATAAACTGACCAAAATTATTGAAACTATATATATTAACATGTATTTTTTGTTAGTCTTGGTGTTATTTTTATTTATACAAGTACTTTATAAATATATATAATGGCTAAAAATTTGATTTGGTTGGTTATTTTAATTTGTTTTATCATGAAAATTGAACTAAAAATGCTAAAAATTAATCAAATAATAAAAATAGGAGAAAGGAGCTAAATTAAAAATTATAATCAAATTGATGGGGATGATAGGACTCGGGATTTGATCATCATTTGGCAAATGCTGGAGGAATTTTATCACTGAATTATAGCCCAATCCCCATTAAAAAATACAAGCTGGATTCTTTTTTTTTTTTTTAAATATTAGTATAAGCTTATTTTCTTTTTATCTAAATTAATAAAATGAGTGTCTAAGAAGCTACAATAAGCTTGAACAACAGACCGTTACTCGACAGGCATCTTAAATTGGCATTTCTTCTATTTTTTTTTTCCCCATGTGCTTTTTTGGTTCTTTTATGCGAACTATGCTTTGCTATAATAAGCTCTTGCTCCACAGGGTCTCAACAGAATCCTTCAGCTTCTATGCATTAACAACGATATGTGGGAATTATTTTTAGAAAATAATGATAATAATATAAAAATAACTATTTTTTAACTTCACTATATGGTCTAATATGTATTAATTAGAACTTTCGTACATTTTCCTTTGATCAATTAAAAATAATTAAAAATATATATTAAATATCATTTTGCTTTTTTTTTTTTTTTTTAAATATCATTTTGCTTTTTTTTTTTTTGTTTTGTTGGTTTTTCCCCCGTTTAGTTCTTTTTTTTTTTTTTTTGGTTGGTTTTTCCCCCTTAGTTCTCTTTTTTCTAACATTACAGTTAAAATTTTAGCAAAAAAATTTAACAAAATGATTATAATCGAAAGTCATAGACTACAAGATTATTAAAATTAATTTTTAAAAAAGATTTTACTCATATAATATGTTATATCAAAAGGATTGAAAAATAATTTATATTAAAGGGTAAACTTAATATTTCAACATTATTTAATAGAAAATACAATAAATGAATGTGTAGGATGGAATTAAAATAATAAAATACTACCTCCATTCCGTTAATTTTAACATTTTCTGATTTTTCAAGAGAATTAAAAAAATAATTTAACTATCTCAATTTTAGATAATATAATTGTATACTGAAAGCACCGTGATGGTTCTCGTAATGCAGTGCGAACTCCGGAAGATGATTCTACACATGCAGGAAAATTGAGGGTAAAAGTCATTTTCCCTTCTAATCTTAAAAAAATAATTAATATTATCTTGTGGAGTGAAGGTAATATTAAATTAATTTTGAAAACACAAATTCCAATGTTTCACTATAATAGAAAGATCCAATAATAATTCTCCTTGACTCCTGTCTTTATTTTACAGGTATAAGAAACAAGGATTTTTCTTAAGTACAAAGAATTACACCAAGATTTCCTTAGTTTATAATTAATTCAAAATTTTTTTTGATGATTTTGTGTTTAAATAATTTGAATTTAAGTAGAAATGATATTTATTCTTTAAATTTAAATTTTTAATATATATATATGAATTTAAATGTGTTTCTCTTAAAAAAAAAAAAAGGAATTTAAATGTGTACCTTTTTTAAATAGATTGGTTTGTAAGTTTGAAAGATAACCTAATCAACTTGTAAATGTTCTATAACTAAGTTAATAATATATTGATAATTGTCAAATATTGGCATTTGTCTTAACCAATCATGAAAGTTAAAAAGTGAAATACAAAAATCACCTAGATTTGATTGAATCCAACCAAAATGGATCAATTTGATTTTGGTCTCACTTCAATATGTTGGTTTGCGCACCCTTATTTGTGGCTATTCCTTATATGAGATACAACTTGCCTATATCCAGCATATGAGACCATCCATACACCAAGTTAATAAGAAAAAAAGATTTCTTTTAAAAAAGTTATTACTGTTTTATTATTTTTGTTCAAAGTAAATGATTAAAAATACTATCATTTAACTAAAAAAATTTATTTTAATTAAATTGGTATATGAGTAGACATATACACATGACATAAATAAGTCATTTTTGCTTTTTATAAATATTTTTTCATGAATCAAACTTTGTAAAAATTGTCAACTAAATTTAAGTGTGTTATTGTACTCGAACAACTCCTTATCGGGTTTCACCTTTATTATTTTGATTATGAAACCAACTCTTCTTTTGGACCTAAATTTTAATGCAGTATAGGCAGGGCATAGAGAAAACAACCTTATGAACTCAATTATTGAACGCAGAAGCTTGGAGCTGTTAGTAATTTGTCGTCTAGTATTACTTGTTGTCTACCACTTTAGTTGAACGGTAACATTTTCATTTTTTTTATATAAATAGCGGATATCTGACACGCTATTATCATAAACAGAATTTAATTTGGAATTTACTTATAATTGAAGTTCTTCATCTCTTTGTATGTATATTTAATAAGGATTGAATTGAAAATTTTTTCTATATATTCAACTCGTGTTGTCAACGGCAATGACCCATTGGTGCATATAACATTTTCACATGGTTTTTTTTTTTTTTTTTTTTTTTTTTCCCATGGTGCATATTAACATTTTACATGGTTTTTTTTTTTTTTTTTTTTTTTTTTTTTTTTCTATTCTTGTCTTTTTATGACATGAAAATCTGCAGTACAAGGGCTTTTGGATAAGTACAGTTGCAACCTGGGGCAGGGGGGCCACCGCCCTCAAAGTCTTTAAATAATTTAATTTTTTTCTGAATTTTGTATACATTTAAAATTATCCTTATGGCCTCAAATGTTTAAAAATTTTAGTTTGTTTTCTTAAATTTTATATTTTTAAAGAATTATCCATGTAAGCGTCAATTTTGTTTTTCACTTTCTTTTTCATTTTTTATCCTCAACTAAATTTTTCAAACCACTCTAACACAGTTACAGTATTCATTGTAAGTAAACATAATTTAATCTATATAAATAATTTTTTATTATTTTATATATATTAATTTTTAATATATACCTTACATAGTATAGTATAACGAATAAAAATTAATTATTATTTTTTTAAAATCAATAAAATTAAGTTTTTAAAGATATTATATTTTTATCATATTTAGTATATACCTTATTTAGTATATCATATAATTTTTTACTTTATTCAATAAAATTTAAATTAAAATAGGAAGTTAATATAATCAAACAAAATTAAATCATTTTTATTTTTTTCATCAATAAAAATATTTTGAAAAATAATATTTTCATCAAACCTTCTCAGCACGAGAGCTTTTTATCTTTGTCGTTGCGTTATTTTTTTTAAGTTTGTTGTGTTTATTACATAGCGGTTAAATGGAAGAGACGAATGAGACAGTAGTATAATGTTTTTTTTTTTTTTTTTTTTGCATTTGTAATTAGATAGAATCATGTAATAGTATTCTAATGGAAGAAAAAAATAAGACAATTTAATCCAATTTTAAAAAGACAGACCGAATGTTGTGTTTTAAAAAATAGAGGGATATAATCGTAATTTTCTTAAATATTTATTGCTATTTGTATTTGATTAGACAATAATTACAAATTATAAGTAATCGTCAATTGATGGCTTGTTTTTGGGGTATGGTCATGGGTACTTTCCAAATAATTTACTCTTTAATTTATACAAATCTATATATTTATTAAATACTTTGAAAAATTATTATTTTTTAAAATTAATAGATTTTACCCCACAAATAATTAATAACTATAGCAAACGAAAATTAGTGGACAAGCAAGCCTGTAAAGCAATGGAATCTGAATCGGATTCTTCCATGTTGCAATCCAACCTATAAGCAAACGTGATTTGTACATCTGATGCGACTCATTTTTCAATTTGGCTCGGTTTCTAACTTTTTATGTGGCGTCAACGAATTAAATCAATAAAAATAAAAATTTTTATTATAATGAAAATATTTTTAACTGTACACTAATGAAGAAAATAAAATAAAATAGAAATAATTTTAAAAAATTCATAATTTGTATTAGTTTGATTGATTGGTAGGGTCATGGATAGAGTATGCATAAGTATTTTTGCGTTTGAATACTCTATCTACTGAAAAATTGGATTGTTGGTGGGATCCATGATGAGTTAAACCCTACCCCACGTGGAATATCGATGAGAAATTGAACACTTGGTCTAGAGTTTTTAAGCTCTTTTTTATTAACAAGATAATTATCTTCATGTTCTTGATTTCTAAAGGAAACCGAAACCTTTCTTTAAAAAAGAAAAATCAGAGCTGAAAGGATATATAACCCATGATTTCTGCATTCATAAAAGTGAAAGTAAAAAGAGAATCAAAATGGAGATAGAAAGACAAGAAAAATATCCAACTTCAACAACACCAGAAGCAACTGGGGAAAATGTTACTGAATCAAGAATCGTATTTAGCAAAAAGGAGATTTTAAAGGAGATGAAGAAGCAGTTGCTTTTAGCAGGACCGTTGGTGTCAATTTTCCTCTGCCTAGGCATTACACAGATGATTTGTGTCGTATTTGTTGGTCATCTTGGAGAGCTTGCTCTTTCTGGTGCTTCCATTGCTACTTCTCTCGCTTCAATGGCAGGTTACACTTTGTTGGTAAGACATTTCTGCAGGTTTCACTTTCTGAGTCTATATTACGACCTTATTCAGTATAAAAGAAAGTTTGCAATTTACTCTCAGGAATTCAATTTTATGAAACACAACTAAAATTTTTATAATATGAAGCAAGTTAACCAGAACATTACTAATCAGTAAGCTTTTCTATTTTCTTAATTATTGTCAATAAGCGAGGAATGGGAAGCGCATTGGAAACATTCTGCGGTCAATCCTATGGAGCGAAACAATATCACTCACTTGGCATACACTTACAAAGAGGAGTCTTTGTTCTTCTTGTTATGAGCATTCCAATTGGAATTATATTTGCTAATGCAGCTGAAATTCTCAAATTCTTGAAACAAAATCCTGAAATAGCAAATGAGGCAGGAAAATATGCTTATTTCTTGATACCAGGTTTTTTTAGTTTGTCACTTCTTGAATGTCATATCAGATTCCTACAAACGCAAAACAAAGTAGTTCCATTGATGGTTACCTCAGGAATTGCTACATTACTACACATACCCATTTGTTGGGTTCTTGTTTTTAGATCTAGCCTCAAAGAAATGGGGGCTGCATTGGCAAGCACCATCTGTTTTTGGATAATTGCATTACAACTGATGATTTATGTCTACTTCTCTCCATCCTTCAAGGAAACTTGGACAGGTTTTTCAAAAGAAGCATTCCATGGAATTCCCAAGTTTTTAAAACTAGCAATTCCTGCAACTGTAATGCTTAGGTGATGTTATGAGTAGCATCTTTCACTTTCAATTTAGCATAGCTAGCGATTTAGGGATGTATCGAGTCGAGTTATGCAGAGATGTAGCTTGACGTGATTAAAAAACTTTGAGGCTCAGAACTGGATTCGAGCTATACTGAGTTTTATTTTCACGCAAGCTCAAATGCAATTGGGGGAACGAGGCAAGTGGTGGCCAGCGCCTCTCGTGTGAAAAAAATTTTTAATTTTTAGTTTACAAGTAGTATGAATTTTTTTTTTTTTAAATTACCCCCTAACTTTTGAAAATATCTTTTGGCCCCTAGCTTTTGCAAATCAATACTTCAAATATATATTTGAGTTTAGTGTGACTCAACTCTTTTTATGTACCAAACAGGATTTTTAATTTTTTAAAGTAGGATTAATGGTAGGGTAATTTTTACTTTTTAACAAAAAAAAAAAAAAATTAAAAGATCCAATCAACTAGTATTAATGCTAGCATTTGGTTTAATTTCGATTAATTTAAATCAGAAATTGCATATGTGGATATATTTTTTAAAATGAAAAAATAATTTCGAGTCCAAGTAGTTCACGAGCAATTTGAATTATTTATGCATTTGCATCATATAAATAATTTGATATATTTCTAACGATTTAAATTATTTTTTTGCTTGAAACAGTTTGGAAGTATGGTCACTTGAGACAGTGGTTTTATTATCAGGACTTCTTCCAAACCCTAAGCTTGAAGCATCAGTCCTGTCTATCAGGTTTTGCATATTTTAAAAGCATATAGCAATAACTATCACATAAAAATTTCACTTTCACACACACAGACATTAATTATTATTTTTTTATTCTTAGCATCACTAACAATAAGTTTTGGCATAATTCCAGCTTTAATATACACATGCTGACTTACATGATACCTTTTGGTCTCAGTGGTGCAATAAGGTGCATATATAATCTTATCCCTTCTTTTCCCCGACATCTTTGGTTAAATTAATGGATTAGACTTGTCCAGACTGTGTATATAGCTTCACCTATAGACCGAATTAATGAAAATAGCTAGTTTTTAAAAATTGTTCTGCTTTTATTCTTTTTTTAGCTGGTGTATGGTGAGAGATATTCTCGTTTCAACAAAAAAAATCATTATTCATTTGTTGTCCAGGAGTGGTCCATGACCGAGCCTAGACAAATCAATTCCTAAAATCTAAATTAATATAATTAATGATTAATGTGGATTTCAATAATTTTCATATAGTCACAAAATTTTCAATAAGGCCTTTTTTCCCTTCTTTTTTTTTTTTTTTTTTTGCATTCATTAACGTAAGCAAGGAAGGTTTAAAATGACTGGGTGCTGGCGACCGCAATAGAGTCTATTTTTTTTTTTTTTTTTTAAATTATAGTTTTATTTTTATGCATTCATTAACTAGCACAAGAGTTTCAAATGAACTGGGTGCTGGGCGACCGCAATCAGCACGTCTAGCAGTGTATGTTGTGGTAATCTTGGTTGTGATAGAAGGCATTGTTATAGCTACTATGATGGTTTCGGGTCGAAAAGTTGTCGGCTACTTGTTTACCAAGGAACAACGACTGGTGAATTATGTGGGAGAAATGTTACCATTTCTTGCAGTATCCCATTTCATCAATGGCATTCAAACTGTTCTTTCAGGTCTGCAGCAACTTATGACTAAATTGTCTTGAATTGCAACACTTCAGGCTATGTTTGATATAACGAAATTAAGAATTGCAGGAACTTGCAGAGGCTGTGGGTGGCAAAAGATTGGAGCAATTGTTAATTTGGGATCCTATTACATTGTTGGAATTCCTTCAGCTGTATTATTAGCTTTTGTCTATCATATTGGAGGAAAGGTAGCTTCAAGTTTTTTTCTTTTGTTTTCTTATTTTGAATCCATCTTGGCCTCTGGATTGGGATTTTAATAAACCAAAAATGTCTATATGAAATGTGTTTGACAGGGCCTCTGGATTGGGATTACAATGGCAATGTTTGTGCAAGCAATTTCTCTTGCAATCATAACTTCATGCACAGATTGGGAAAAACAGGTATATATAGTGGTTTTTTTTTTTTTCCTTTTTCTCTTGGTTAATTTATGAGCACTAAAGTGTATGATATAAGAACACTCATAAGGTTTTCTGTAATTAGCTCTAGGTTATTTGAGAATTCCTTGTCATCCCCTCTAATTTTGATTCCATGCCATTTTTATTTGTTTATTTGTTTTCATGTAGGCAAAGAAAGCCAAGAACAGAGTATTTGGTGCAATGACAGTGACAGATGGTGATGCATTGTCATAAAAATATTACCAATAACTTGTGTTGGAGTTAGATTCTCAAGAATGTAAATTTTGGAACATTGAAACAGAAAAAAAAAAAAAATTTCATTGAAGAAGTAAAAGTAGGATATTATTGAAGGAGTCAAAATGTTATAAAATGTTAGTGACACAGTTTCAATTCGTCCAATACATAGTGAATATGGAGTAACCGGAAATGCCCGCTCCGATCAATTCCATTCAGTTTGTTCATATAAACTGGAAATTGTTCGTAATCTCTATATGTTTCTAGAATTTGGGATTTAGAGATATGAAAATGGCGTCTATTATTGTTATCTATCTTCTGTTCTGTAGTAGATTAATTGCTTAGCTTACACAGTAACGGAGGTGAATGGCTTTGATTTGGAAATTATATATAACTTGACGAGAGAGTTGTTTGTTTATTTTGTGCATGCTCTAACTTTCTTAGACCAACGAGAGAGTTATATCGAACCATATTGATCGGTTGGACCAATCAATGTTTTTTATTTTTTTAATAATTATTTTAAAAAATTAAAAATATAATCAGATAATTCTATAAAAAAAATAATACCATTTTATGTTAACACAATAATTTTTATCATATTTTTTAAATATCAAGTAATTTTATATTTATAATTAATTTTTTTATATTGGAATATATTTTTTTAATTAATTATATATTTTTTTATTTTTGACATTGCTGATGGTCAAAATTAAAATTAAGTTATTTATATTTACCACTATTTTGCGTATTCAAATGTGCATAATATATACATTTTTAATTTATATAGTTATCATTAAAAATATATGCAATCTTATTTTTTAAGGAAAAAATTAATCGTAAAACTACTTATTAAATTTTTTTACAATCAATTTAAAATTTTAAATTAAACATTATCAAATTGTAAAATTTGGTGCAAATGAGATCAGCCTGGCAGTTATTATCTTGATTATTTCTGGAGTAACTTTTCATGCTCGGCCTTTTTTTACCTTCAAGCCCTATAAAAGCCTATAGAGTCTTTATATTTACTGTCTCCGTGTCTCCACTATCCATCAGTCAAGCGAAGAAGATATTTAGAGGTTTTTTCCTTTTGTTGTTTTCAAATTTGGCACTATTCATGTTTAATTGATCATCAGCTTTTTCATTTTTGTGTTTTTGAGTATTGGGGAGGGACATTGTTACTGGCGAGAATTTGATTCGTCGATTAGTAACTTTCTTTTACTCATAAATGAATATATAATTTACTATTTTCTTAATCTTGATACGAGTAGACAATATTAAGTAGTAGAATTGAAATTGTATGTTATTTCAAATTTAGTTGTTTTGACAAGGTTTTGATTTCTTTTTTTCTAGAGTTCTTTATTTTAGGGTTCTCTTGAATTGTCTTGCTTTTGAGTTTCCAATTTTGTGTTTTGATTTTGATTTAGGAAAGAGGATTTTGCAGATTTGAATTCAGAATTTTTTTTTTCTTTTTGTGTTTTTTCATAACCCTTGATAGTGGCAGTTGAGCCGAGCTCAAAGCTTTGATCTCGACTCGTTTAAGGTATACAGCCAAGGTTGATCGAAGCTCGAAACCCACGTTTAAGCTCGACTAATTTTCATTTACCGTGAAAAAAATAATCATAAATTGCCCCATTACAAGCTCGAACTTGAACTGGTATATTAAATGAGTTACATAGGCATCCTCAAGCTTGAATTGTTAAACTTACTTAATAAGCTTTTCTCAAGTCAAGTCTCATAGTGGCTCATGAGTGACTTGACTTATTTACATCCCTAACTACAACTAGCAGGCTTTGATGAACTATAAGACTTGTTTTAGTTAGCTATTTTCCCTTTCAATTTAAAGTTAGCTTTGATAATAAAACAGTAAAAGTTTATTTTTATGAAATGCTAAAATTAATTTCTAAGTTCTAACTGTAATTGCCTTTTACCTTTCCCATGAAATTTTTGTGCATTATGTTTGCTAGGTGATGAAGTTACAGGAACTAAAATTGGAATATAAAGTGTTTTAGACTAGAATTTCTAAGTTTATATATTTTGCAATTTGTTGGGATCAATTACTTGTATTGTTGATCTTTATATTTCTCAAATGATCTTGGTGAATAATTCTATTTAAGGGTTGTACATGTTTCCTCAATTAGTTAAGTTCTGTTTTCTCGACAAGTTAATTTCACTTCCATTGATCAAATTAAGCTTGTTTAGTAGGATTATGGCTTGCAGTGATTATGAAGATGATTATTTTGGGGGATCTGATTTCGGAGATGATTTTAATGAGGAACCTGATTCTTATGGGTTGGGATCTGATTCTGAAGATGATTATAATGAGAAATCTGATTTTGATGAAGATAATTATCATAGTGATTCTGAAGGTGTCGGATCTGATTTGGAAGATAATCATCTTCAGCAATCCAACAGTCAGCAATCGATTTTGAAGAACAGCATTGTGGACAAGAAGACTGGTTCTTATGCGAGGACAACCATGAAGCAGAGCTATTCTTCTGGGGATGTTTTCAAGGAGCGTTCAACTGGTAGAGTTGGTTACAAGGATGAGTTCAAAACAACCAAAACTTTTAAGGTTGGTGACAAAAGAGGTTATACTGAACACCAGGTGGAGGAGAGGTACCGCAGGGTCGATTATGGGAACAGCAGCAGCAGTAGCAGGGGAAAAAATAGCTGCTGCAACAGCAAGGGAAAAAACATCAGTAGCAGCAACAAGAAATACTTGAAGTAGTCATATAATTATGCTTGTTTGTCTCCGTTGGTAAATTAGTTTGGAGTTTGAACTTCATAGTTAGTTTATTTTGCTTCCTTAGCTGGACATGGTAATGACTTTCAACGTTTTATGTAGTCTCTAGTTTCTTTATTATGCAAATATTTAGCATGTCTGTGTTCTGTAAGATACTGATGGTTTGCTTTTCAATAGAGTTGATATGGCTTTTGGTTTTTCATGTTGGTTTTAATGCTCTGATACCACTTGTTGGATATCAGCGCAATGATAAACTCTAAGATTGATTAATAATTTATAACACCAAAAATAATAACGGGAACACCAAATATAATTGTATTAATAAGAAGCAAATATTCACAAATCTTAAGGAAATGATTACTTATTTGGTTTTTGTTTTGTGTTTGCTTGGTTACAAATGAGAGGAGGGGTGATATGCATTTCCACCTCCTCAATGTACGGCTAAGATTTGTTTACAAAAATAGATGGTCTAGATTACAAGGAACATTTTAGAGTTAGGTAAGATATTTTCATCACATCTTATGTGTGGAGAATTGTGGAGTATTCTAGAATGTGGGCTTGGACCTCCAACTTGGGGCTTAAGGCTTCCCAAGTCTTGGCTTATTATAGCAGCACTTAAATTAATCGGTGATATTTTAATACTCTCCCTCAACGATTAATTTCTCTTTCTTCATCATTCCCAATTGTTGACGAAAATCTTCATATTTATTTGCGTTTAAACTCTTTGTAAAGATATCGGCTCGGATGGTTGATTCCGTCTTGATATATTTTCATTTTTAATCTCTCCTTGTAAGAACTTTTCTGATAAAGGAAGAACTCAACGTTTTTGGTTTCGATGAAACACGGGAATTCTAGCCATTTGTATAAGACGCGCTTTCAAATTTAACGAATTGGATAGTGATGGGTTGATGCAGATGTTCATAAGTGTGAAACAAAACTTCCTGAGTGCTGTTGCCTTGCCGATACCGCTTTGTTGTGGAAGTAGACACTGTAGGTTGTCTCTTGCTGACCAAGAGATTACTCTGATCAAGACTAAATGCTCATAGCCTGTTGTCGCGGCGCGAGTGTCGTGATCTCCCGCATAATACAGCATCGCTATCTTTCAATTGATAATTTCACCTTCTTTGTAAGATCATATCGATTGGTCCTTTTGATATTTAATATTTTCGACTGCTTCCAAGTGAGGTTTCTTTAGGCTTTGCTAAATGGTCTGACTACTCCAATGCAAAGGAAATGTCCGGCCGTGTCATAGTGAGATAGTTAGGCCTTCAAAGTTGTCTATAACATAGTAGATCTTCGAGATCATTCCCTTCTAGACAGCTGACTTAGCTCCTTGGATGGATATTTGGCTTCCATTCCCATGATTTCCAAACTCTTTAGTAGATCTCTTGCAACTATCTGTTGTGCGAGGTCAATCCCCCTTCCTGGCTTTTTATCTCCAATACAAGGAATGCTGACCTTACGCTTTTCATCTTAAACGAGTAGCAAATTCTCGGATGAGTTGAATCTCTCGATGTTGGCCAGTGACTATTAAATATACATATACTAGCACTGTAAGTTTGTTTGTTTATTGTATTATGTCTTCGTCGATTTTTTCAAATAAACTAGAGTCTGCTAGTGCCATAAATAATCCATTCTTGAAGACATCTGCAATCTTGCCATACAAGCCTCGTGCTTGTTTAAAGACATAAAGAGCTTCCTTAGCTTGCACACCATAGTTTCATTCTCGACTTTTGACCTGTGGTTGCTCCATGTAAATTTCAGATCAACTTAACCATGTAAGAATGCGTTCTTACATCCATCTGCCACAGAAGGCCATGACTTATAGCTGCCTAACTGAGTATACCCGCACAGTAGTGATCTTGGAACTGGACTAATGTTCATCATAGTCGAATGCATAGTTGCTGAGAAAATCAAAGCAACAGTCTTGCTTTGTATGCTCATTGATGGCGAGTTTTGATTTTGTAAACCCATTTGCAAGAGATGGGTTTCACATCTTTTGGTTTTGGCACTAATTCCCATGTTTGATTTTCCTCCAAAGCAGCAATTTCTTCTTCCATCGCAGTTGTCCACTCCATCTTCTTTGATGCTTCTTCATAAATTGTTGGCTCCTGTATCTCTGCTATAGCAGCATTTGCATATTTTGGATTAGGCCTTCTTTCAATACTCGATCGCCGAAGTGGAGGATAATCTGGATCTTGTTCTTCTTGACTTGGCTGTTGTTGTTCGTATGCACCTATCTTCCATGGGCTTTCGATTTCTCTTGAACTCTGGATGGCTCTACCGTGAGGGTTCAGGCCAGGTTTGGCACCCAAAGCGGACAATATCTACCATGGGCTGGGCTGTTACATTCTTTCTCGACTTGATCGCCGAAGTAGACGAGAATCTGGATCTTGTTCTTCTTGACTTGGCTGCTGTTGTTCGTATGCACCTATCTTCCATGGGCTTTTCGATTTCTCTTGAACTATGGATGGCTCTCCTTGACCTTTCTCTGGGATGAACTCTCCCTCTCCTATCTTCTTTTCAACTTTTTCTTGAATTTCTTTTGAGTCTGGTAGCATCAAAGACCACGTTTCTTGAAATATGGCACTTGTTAGTTGTAGGATCACAACATCTCTAGCCTTTTCTTTGCTCATCATAACCAACGAATATGTAGCAAAGTGCCTTTTTGTCCAACTTGCTTCGAAGTTCATACGAAACGAAGACATAACACACGCATCCAAAAACGCGAAAATGACTTTCAGTTGGTTTAATGTTCCACAGTTTCTGGAATGGGGATGTAAACTCCCATCTTGCTTGAGGTAGTCCGTTGGTGACGTACACAACTGTCTTCATGCACTCTGCCCAAAATCTACGACACATTCTCGCATGGAGCAATCTGCAAATCTCCACCAGGTGTGAGTTCTTTCTCTCACAACTCTTTGCTGGCGGTGTTCGTTTGGGACATGTGAATTGCCTTCGATGCCTTGCTCTTGGAATATTTAGTGAATTCGTCGAGTGTACTCTCCACCATTGTCTGGTGCGAAGGGCATTAATTTTATTTCAAACTCTTTTTCAACTTTGTTTTTAAAAGCTTTTGAATTTTTCACAAACTTACGCTTTCTACCTGAATCTACCCAAACATATCTCGAGTAGTCTTGATGAAAGTAATCATGTACTCGATGATCTGTTTGTAGGTTGCTTGATCGTCCCAGAACATCTGAATGTATAACTAATGGGACTTGGCTCTATGTTTTTGAATGGCTTCAACAGGGAAGTTGGTGAGCTGTTTCCATACTGCATCCAGCACATATATGTGTCTTCTCGCATTCAACTGAGAGACTTTTAAGCATGGACTTCTTCATCATCACTTAGCCTTGTATAACTAACATGTGCGACGAGCGTGCACAAGTAGCTGTCTACTCTTCTTTTCTTATCAAATGGTTTTTTTGTGCTGAACATGACGTAGAATGATTCACTCGCATCCTTATGACTGGTCTCCGATCAATTTGAAGGTTACGATAACCTGTCACATTATCAGGGACCGACATCAATAATTACTGCACTTGCTATATTGTGATGAAGAAAGCAAGTTTTTTTCATTCTTGGCAACATGATAAACATCTGTTAACTCCATTTTCTCCTATTGAGGAGAAGAATGGTGTGTCTTCCAATATGAGCTATTGGTATCTCGTGTTATTTGCTGTGACTACAACACGACTCCATCATATCGAGATACGAATCCGATTAATTTTCCTTGTTTCCTCTTCATGTGAATTAGAATTCCAGATATCACTACATCATCATCATAGTTGATTGTAATTAATTACAATAATTAATGACGGGAACTTCCTGTCGGGTCCTTTCATCATCATTCTACTGCTTTTGTGGCAAATTATTTCTTCTCTGTGTGAATATCCCATTCCTCTTCACTTTGTTGCTCGTTCTGGGTTGATGCTATGTTTCCTTCTACTCGTCTACTTCGACATTCTCGGGCGAAATGTCCTTCTTTTGTTGCACTTATAGCAACGATCACTTTCTCGCCAGTCGTCTTTCCTTTGTCCTGGCCTTGCTCCACCTTGCTGTGATGGTCTCCACTTTTGCTTTCTCCATCCTTGTTGATTGCTCCTTTCTTTTCCACCATCTACTCTCGCAACGTTTCGAAATCCCCTCTTTTTAGCAAACAGAGCTTTCTAATCATCCTTCAAAGCTACTTTAGACATTTTTTTGTCCAAAGTCTCTTCATTGGACAAGATATTCTCTAACTCGTCTAAGGTTGGTTGTGTAGCCCAACCACGAGTAGCAGTCACAAGAAACTTTAAAATCAAGTCTTAGACATGGATGAATGATCCTTCATCTTGTCTCGTTGTCTGGCTATACATTTCGAAATTCCTCACATAAGATTTTAACTTTAGAAAAGTTTGACTTACAGTGAGGTTCTATTCGCGAGATTGAGAACAACTCGTTTTCAGCGTTGCAATTTCTGCTTCATTCTTCTGTGGGAAAGCAGACTTGAGAATGTCCATGCTTCCTTTGGTGTTTTTAGCCATTGATCGTTGATCTCTCATCTTCTACTGAAACTGTCAGCTAATACATCGCTTCCGCCATTTTGTCTCCACTCTTTTCGGAGCTTTCGCATCCCCACTGGTGGTGTAGTATTATCTCTACACGTATCCATAAGTTGACCTAGTAGATAATAATCTTTATAGCGGGTACTGCATTGTCCCGTAATTGTTTGCTATTTAGCTTCTCGATACTATTGCAAGTCCAGAAAAACCATAAGGTACTGGTGTTCCTAACACTAACCAATGCACAACGATCCTTGACCAATCAAGATCACAATCCTTGCTTGTGAATCTTGCTTCAACAGCAGTCCCCGACTGTTAATTCCAGCAGAGTAGCGATACTCTACACTTGTAAATGAACACCACAGCTACAACAACTACCACCACAACTAGGCTCTGATACCACTTGTTGGTTTTAATTCTCTGATACCACTTGTTTGATATCAGCGCAGTGATAAACTCCAAGATTGATTAATAATTTATAACACCAAAAATAATAACGGGAAAGGCAACCAAAATAATACTAACACACACAATAAACAAATATAATTGTATTAATAGAAGCAAACATTACAAAAGGGGCTTGGGCATGATTATTTTGTTTTTGTTTTGTGTTTTGCTTGGTTTAACAAATGAAGGAGGGGGTGGTATGCATTCA